TGGGTTGGTTGTTATAAGCTGGCTCATTCGACGATGAACCATTTCCAGTTTGGGCTTCGACAATGTCTGCGACAACGGCGTCACTGAGGCGGTCGAATACTTCGGAGCAGTTGCGCGCCATGGCCCATCTCTCGGACACAGCCACCAGCACCTTTGAGCAGGCTCGGGTATCGTTGACCACCTGGCTGATCGTGGGAGTTGTTCGCAGCGTGGCTCTGGGCGTGTTGGCATTCGCGGGGTTCCGGCTTTGCATATGCTGGAGATGATTTCTCAGTGCATAGATGTAGGAGAGTCCTGCGATGAAGATGGAGTGAAGTGTCACCCAAGAATAGTTGATCTTTCTGGAGCGGTGCAGGTTAGCGTACAGCTTGATGGCCTCTTGCGAAGAGTCAAACATGTGCTGTAGCACGATGCTATTTCCAGTGGCATCGCATAGGGTGGGAGATGGGCGGAACAGCATCAAGATTCCGTTGTGGTACAGGAGATTGTACCATTCTGCCGAGCGGAAACTGGACCGGCTGGCGGGCGAGGTGAGCGGCGCCTCTGGGGGAATCAGTGGTAGGCTATTCGTCCCCTCTCGCCATGACTGGAGCTCTTCGGCGAGGGCGTTTCGACTATCTTCGTAGGTGACTGGGTCTCGTGCTATGTTCGCGCTGCGATGGAGGACGTTGAGAATCTTGCCGCAAATCATTCGGTACCTGACAATGTGAACGAAGATTGCGGTTCCAAGATGCCACTCTGGGGTCCTGAAAGAGGCCGTCGATAGGGAATTGGAAAGTGGGACGGGGCTTCCAGGCACATCGAAAGGCGGAAGGTCGACGTCGATATCCTCAAGCTGGATAGCCAGCGGCCGTCCCAGGATGAGACTGGCAATCCGATCCATCGATACCACACTCCAGAAACACCGTCTCTTGATTTCAACGTCTTCATGTCTTCCCTCCACATCCGCCTCGTCACCGGGTCGTGATGAAGAGACGGTATACGTCGACCCCTTGTGCAACCCCAGCTCGAAGCATGTCCTCGCCGCAACCCCAATCAGGTGCCAGACGCTGGTGCTCGTGTCGTGGGAGGTTGTTCCCATCCTGTATTGACAGATCAGAAGCAAGGCCTGAAGAGCAGTGATACCTCCGCGAGAGAGAACATCGCCCAATCGCGTCATGGCGCGTGTATAGTGAACCTCGGAATCCCAGAACCCGTTCCAGTTCAACTTGTAGACTTGTGCGGTCCCGATGGCAAGAGTCATGTCGACAAGAAAGCTATCGATCGGATTCCCCTTCTCTGGGTTTCCTACGTCGTAGACAACGTCTAGGGCCCGGTCCAGTGCTTTCGGTGAGAGAAACGGATAGCAAAGCCGGTCGTGACTGGAGTATGCATCTAGTATCTCTACCGTCATGCTCCTTGGTGGCAGACTGGTAGCTCCACTGGTGGGCACAAGGCTTCCCGTACGTCCATGATGGCGGGATGTTGAGCTTGGGTATTGGCCGACGGTATGACTAGGTGCCTCGGAAGACTGGCTATGAGACTGTAGCAGATTGGCGAGGAACAAACCGCTCGTCGAGCCGACAAAGTCTCGACCTCCACCAGCGCTGAGTGATAAATGAATGACCTGGCTAGCAATTTCTCCGCCCCCAGCAGCTGGTGCTTCAGCCTCGTCAGTCTGTAGCCCCAGACTTGACGTCGTAGTCGGAGTCGCAAGCCTCTCATCCGCGGTGTCTGCTTGGCGTTGCTGCTCGGCCAGTCGCCCGGTCAGATTATCGTTCTCTGCCTGCAGGTCTCGTATATGCTGCTCAAGCCTCTCGACGTCCTGCCGACGAAGTTGTATCTGGTGCTCCCTCGCGGCATAGGTACACTGGACGTTGATCCGGGAACAAGGGGCGCATGAAGGCCGGGTGCGGTCGCATTTGACCTTTCGGCGGTGACAGCGCTGGCATGCGCCGGTCCGGCTGACTGAACCAGAGGGCATTGGGTTCGATGTCAGGCCAGTGATTCAAGGAACGGCCGACATTTCAAGTGTCGGCTTCAAACGGATTACCCATGGTATCGAAGTTGGATGTGAATGAGGGATGCCAAGAGCGTGGGATCCAGCGAGGTGGGAAATCTGGGGTAACTAGAACGTCTCCGCTCTCCGGGGGCTCCTCAACCAACCACCCCGCGCCTCCGCTTTCTACGCCGGTGGATCCCTGAGTTCTCCCTCGGTTTCTTCATAGTTACAGTCACGGTCGGATACACGTATATAGAAATCATTGTGCACTTACACGAAGGCGGGCATCGTCGTTCAATGCGAAATCGTTGTCTATGAAGCATGTAATACTATATGAATGCGCGCCAAGAAACCCCATCCTCCGCACCAACACCGAACACAACACCTTGATACACTCCGGTCCTTATATGCTAGATAGTGTACACTAATCCTTCATACCGTTGACAAAACTTGAATTCTTACACCTAGATGAAGAGCTTGCTGCCATGGTACTTGGCCTTCTTTGAGTAAGTGGAGGCGGCAGCCGCCTTGGTACGCTCAGGCAATCCCTTGAAGGAAACGGCGTAGGTTGCGACTGAGTGAGAAACCAACTAAATCGCCTGTCAGAAACATGCATAAAGGTCAGGATTTTGCAAAACTCACCTTGGTATTGATCTCCCAAGCAGTCAAGTTAACGTTGCCGACATCGTCGCACAACTGGTGGTAGCACGGGTCGTACCAGTCGCCGGCCTTGCCGCCGAACAGCTTGGCCTCCTCCTTGGTCTTGATGCCCTCAGCACCGGTAGCAATACCACCGCCGGGGATGCCATTTCGGATGAAAGCGTCGTAATCACTGCGACCGTCGAACGGAATAAAAGTGTAAGCAAGGTCGTGAGCCTTGTACCAGTCTACGTAGAGGTCACGCAGCTCCTCGGAGCCAGTGGGGTTGACGGCGTTCGTGGCGTTGTAGACCTGGTACGCGTAGTTGGGGCTGCCAAGCATGTCGTAGTCCATGAAGAGACGAATCTTCTGGTTCTCCTCCTCAGGCAAGACGTCAACGTAGTAGTCAGAGCCGAGAAGACCCTCCTCCTCACCTGCCCACCAGGCGAAGCGAACGCAGTTGTTGACGCTGAACTTGGTCAGCTGAGTGGCGATCTCCAAGAGACTCAAGCTGCCAGAGCCGTCATCGTTGATGCCAGGTCCCTCAGCAACACTATCACTGTGTCCACCGAGCATCACGCAGTTGTCCGGGTCGCCCTCGATAGTTTGGGCAAGGATGTTGGTGGTCTCAATGGTGTTGACAACCGCATCAATGTAGGCAATAGCGTCGACGGATTCGCCCTTGCCCAGCTTCTCGAGAATGGGCTTAGCATCGTCACCACCCAGACCAAACGTGGCAATGTGGTCGGGAGAAGGCGTTCCAAGGGTGCCGTGCACAGTCTCAGTCTCGTAGTTGTACACGACGGCCGCGATAGCACCAGCCTTGCCGGCCTGCTCGCTCTTGGCTCCAAACGCACAGGTGCCGCGGCGGATGAAGGCGATATTTCCCTTCACCTTGGAGGGGTAGTCGGAAGCGTCGCATCCATTGTTCTCAACAAAAATGAGGTCGCCGTATACGGGCTCCTTATCCTTCGTGGGTGGGGTCAGAGCCATGGGAGAGGCTGACTTTGGCACATCGTTTCCGATGACGAGGCGCGACTCGAAGACATTGCCTGAGACGGCAGGGAAGGTCTGGTTCCAGATCTTGTAGTAATCGCCCAGCTTCGCGAGCTCGAAGTAGATGTACTCCAAAGTTCCGAGGTGACCTATACGACTGGTAAGCACGAAAGATAGCGAGTTGCTGGGGAGACGGTCGTACCATCACTGCCAATGACACGCGTGGGGTGGTTGTACTCCTCCTCTCCCAACTTGGCGATATCGTAGAGGTCCTTTGCGCGCGCAAGCAGGTTGTCGGCCTTGATGGTATCCTGAAGAGCCTCAGTCTCAACCAAGGGCTTCTTGGAAGACGACGAGGACGCGGTGGATGGGGATGTTGCGACGACAGGTGCATCGTCGGCAATCATCGGCGCTTGTTGTTCAGGTACCTGCATCTGCATCTGCAGGGCGGACACACCACCAAGCAAGGCCAAACCGGCCAATTGTAGTCGACGAGCTCCAGCCATGATGTTCAATACCTCAGTTCGGAACTTGAGTTGCAAAGGTGAGGTTGAGACGGGGTTGGGAAGCTGTGTGTCACAGACCTGGGGGGGTCAGAGCTGGGTCTCAGTCGGGGGACCTGGGGAGCTGTTGCGATAGACGACCGATATCGCGAATCGGTTAGTCATGTTGCCGAGGCCCACCATTCGTCATAGCTCTTATCTTATCGAGCACAGCTGACATAATTTATCTGCCCGATAAGACATGAGCGCCCAGCCTTCACAGGGGGTGTGTTTTGATTCTGAAAACGGCCCCTCGCTTCACTGGGCGATTACGTTGTTAGCGCAGATTGCAGCTGTCAAGGTGGCCCCGAGACTCCGTCACCCCTGCTGAACAGCAAATCCAAGGGGTCAAACGGCCCCCGTGTGCGCATGTTTTCATAGGGGGAGACACGGGGTTGAAGATTAGGACACAGTGGACCGGGGGGGAAGCTCTATGCAGTTCAGGAGCTCCGCCCCCCTCCAAGCACCCCCAAAGGGCAAAGGGCCCGCCTATCCTGTCTCTCGGTGCTGCTCACCACCGGGCACTTTTACACTTCTTTCGGGTCCCGCGTTTCCCAGGGCGCACCTCAGACTTGGGACGAAGCCGAAGCACGATCCGTCTCCCTTCTCTGTCCCTGTTTTTAGGTTCTGTCTCCTTGAACCATCTCGTCTGCATCTTTTCCCCGGTGCAGAGCCGCCATGGTATTGTGCCAGACATCATCAACGTCCGCTGTCCAGAATGGGTGATATAGGAGCCACGGGAGTTTGGCCGAGAGGTAGATACTATCCCGAGATATCCAGCGACGAGGAGGATAATTCCCCATGCGAAGCTAGATATGTCAATGTGGCCTTTTTGCTAACACATGCCACGTCCCGAAGATGCCGCTTCCTGGGCCTCGATACCGACTGAATTCCTCCTCGCCGAGCTATCCAAGCGACATGGACCTCCAGTCACGAATGCCGAAGCTGCTGCGGCAGAGGCAACGAAGCCACAATGCGGTTCATCTAGAAAGGAGTCCTACGATACCGCGCTGCATATTGGCGCGCTGATCTTGATATTGGCGCTGAGTACAATCTGTAAGCGACACGTTTCTGGTTTCTACAGCTCGACGATACCTGGCGAGACCATGATGGCCTGCGACGGAACACTCGAGAGGAGTTCCCGCCCAAGCTCTTGGTTCAATGTCATTTGATGGAGCGCTTGCTAATGATTGATAGCATGCGGAATTCCACTACTCCCCAGAAGAACCTCCAAAGGCCGACCGCAGAGCATAATTCTCTTCTACTGCCAGCACTTCGGCACCGGCGTTCTCCTCGCAACGTCCTTCGTCCACCTCCTCCCGACCGCCTTCACCTCACTCACCGACCCGTGTCTCCCGTTCGTCTTCAACAAAGGCTACCCCCAGATGGCAGGGTTGATTGCTATGGTGGCAGCACTCTCCGTCGTCGCGCTCGAGTCCTACCTAGCCACCCGCGGGGCCGGTCACTCCCACTCCCATTCACACGAGTACGAGTACTGGGACGACGAAGAGGGCAGCGGGCATTCTGCAGCAAACACCCATGCCGCAGGAAGCTTGGCATCGCACAGACACGGCTCTCACCGGCCGGAAGACATCAGCCTCGATAACATGGATTCTACTCAAGGGCTAATGGCCGGCGCATCGCCTTTGCCGAGCTCGACGCCGACGCGTGCGAAAGCGAACGATAGCCTTGCCAACGGTCGAGATAGCTTTGACGACGACGACGAATCGGACATTGACCTTGATGTCAATGAGCTGGACCCGACCCCCGCCAACGAGCCTAGACGCCGGAGCTCACCCGGCATCCGTCCAAAGATTACAGTTACCCCCGGCGCACCCCAGATCGTCACGGAAGAGGAGCAGAGCAAGCTTCTTCGCCAATGTCTGCTACTAGAAGGAGGCATTCTCTTCCACAGCGTCTTCATCGGCATGGCCATTTCAGTCGCGACGGGCCCGACCTTCATCGTCTTCCTCATCGCCATCAGCTTCCACCAGACATTCGAGGGACTCGCACTCGGCAGCCGAATCGCCGCCATCCAACTGCCCCGGTCCTCTGCGCGGCCATGGCTCATGGTTCTCGCGTTCGGAGGCACGACGCCGCTCGGTCAGCTCATTGGTCTTATTGTGCATAATCTGTACGACCCCATGAGCCAGACCGGGTTGCTGATGGTTGGGTTCATGAACGCCATCTCGGCTGGGTTGCTCCTCTTTGCTGGACTGGTCCAGCTGCTAGCCGAAGATTTCCTCTCAGAGAAGAGCTACAAGATTCTACAGGGGCGGAAACGGCTGAATGCCTACATGGCTGTGGTTGGCGGAGCATCACTCATGGCCATTGTCGGAGCGTTTGCCTAGAAAAGATGGGCGTACCAGAGCGAGATATCATCACAGCAATACTGCTAATACACTGTTTTTGACCAACTCAACATTCCAAGGAAGGTTACGAGACTTGTTGACTTACGTTTAGGTGGGCCTCCACTATACAGCATAACACATACCCAAAAGCAAGGAAGAGCAGACAATACCATCCTTCCACGACGAACAAAAAGCAAAAGATTAACCCGAGGAGTGGCTTCGCCAATCGCGGTGAGGATTTGAGCCTCACGCGGGGGTCGAACCCGCAACCTTGAGATTAAGAGTCTCACGCTCTACCGATTGAGCTAGCAAGGCGGGTTATTGGAAGCTGGTCCGATGGACCTGCTGGTTTGTTGGAAACAGTTGGCAATTGAGTCATTAAGTAGGGTTGAAAGTTGCAATGTGAAGAGATTTTTACCAAATTTCTTTCCGGTAAAGTGGGGCGGTGCCGGGGCTCCGGTTTTATGTGTGGTTTTTGTGGTCCGTGGGCCGGGACTGGCTCCGTACGTGACTACCTTCCAGGGTTGTGCATGTGTACATGAGATATGTTGATTGTCGGGGATATGTGCTGTGAAAATGATTTGAATCTTTCTCTCATCTTGGGTTTTGTCTTTCCTCAAAATTGAATCCCAGGTGTGACGCGTTGAAGCGATGAGTTGGGATGATTGAAGCTTACACGGCCTTTCCAATGCTGTCCCCCATGACAGTGGCAATCGCGAGCCTTGTCAGAACACCCACAGGATTGCCCAATGTCTCAATACAAGAAGAAGAAGCAGGAGAGAGAGAGCAAACTTCGACTGATCACCCCATGTACCCAGGCCAGCCATTGCAGGTTGAGTCAGACCACAGAGTTCAATATTTGTGTTGGCAGGTAAGTGAATATGAGAAGTATATCGACGTACCATGGGCAAAGGCCGTTCCTTGATGCTACTATTCAAGTTGAGTCTATCTTTTAGGAGTAATGTGTGATTAACTAGAACCATTACCGTCCGGACTATATAAAGCGAAACTTTACTCTCCATCAAAACGAGCCACAACTAAAGCAACCAACTTCCTATGAAAGGTCTGGCCAATCCTGGCAGCTGTCAAGGTCCTTGATGATAGCAATGTGCCCAAATTTTTGACTTCAGTTATGTTGCGAAGTCTCAAATGAGTCATGAGAAGGCTGCCCAAGGGATAAGAAGTACAATCTATTATTCTCACAAGCATTGTTGATTAAGCCCCATCATGAACCGCCATAAAATTCGAAACCTCTTGCAACACAACGCCAATAGTAGTGATAAAAGAATAAGATTTAGAGTTTGGAATTGAAGTCTTAGAGACTATTTGGAGATTAAACAACGAACCTCATGCTAAGAGGATACGCTCTCAACGACTTTTTTTTACGAGTTTACGATGAATTTGCAGTGAGAACGCAGCTCCCATTACATGGGATTGCAATCCATAAATCTCACAGCCACCATTTGATGAAATGAAGAATTAGGAAATGTCTCGTCATAGTGACTTTGACTTCCGGGCTTGCTGTGCCACAAGATCATCCGAGGCACCGGCTGACATGTCGTCTCAACCTTGAGGATTCTTAGCAGTGACTCACTCGGAGAACAACCCAAGTAGAACAAGGCGCGATGGGATCACATAAATTTTGGCCAAGACCTCAGTACTCCCCTGTGATTCATCGGAAAGACGAAGGAATTCGAGTTAAGTACAATCAAATTGTTCTTTCTTCAACAAGATACGTCAAGCTTGACCAAGAAAGAGACTCTTGTTCAACAAGACGTCGACGATGCTCCACCATCACTAGCGGTACGTACCGTTCCTCAGCAGGCCATCCCAGCGCAATTGCAGCCCACCCGCAGTTCATCCGGCACCAATGCAAGGCTGATTTGATGTGCCGCCAGGTGCGCAGGTCACTTTCACTCTGAGAGGCGGGGCAGTTACTTTTTTTTTTTTCTTGCCTGGGCTGCCCGCAGTGCTGATCGACCTCTGATGCAGCTCCAAAAACCAATCCCACCATCGTCGCCGACCCAAGTCAACCGCACCCACCTCACCGTGGGCGAAGCGCCTCTCAGGGCGTCTGCTCCGACCCGACGAATCTACCCTTTCCTATCGACACTCCCGGCACGACACTTGCTGATGCGATTCAATTGACGACCTCAGACCTTGAGCTTTACTTTGGAACCAAGGTTCGATTCAATAGTCCGGCACTCTGTACTCTTTTGCCGGCGCAAAGCGACGACCCCTCGATCGCGCGAAACTCGACTACGACCCCAGACGACTTAAAAAAATCCCCCAGGCACAAACTCCCCCACCACCACCGATCGATCACACATCACCAACAAGTCCCCGCCACATCTACGACACAGCTGGGCTCGAACCGACTCCCTGAACCTTTCAATTCTCGTTGCGCGACCGCACCTTCCTACAAATAATCACAAAACCAAAGCGAGACAGGCCGCCGCCGCCGTCGTAGACAGGCGCAATGGCTCCCGCACCCCCAGCGGCGGACTCGCCCTCGGCGGCAACCACCTCGAGCACCGACTCTAAGCTAGAGGTGTGGAAGGACATGCTGTACGAGAAATTCCAAAAGGCCGGCGACGAGAACGAGCTCTTCACCCAATACGATCTCCTCGACTTTGACGTGATCCCGAATCGCGACACCGTTACCCTCTTGAAGTGCCTCCAGAGTCTCACAAACGACCGCCTCCTCATCGCCGTCTCCTCCCAGACCGGCCTCGCCTGGCGATGGCGCTCCGTCGAAGATGCGGAAAAGTAAGTCTCACTCTCCATGCTTGGACAGCATCAGCTCGCCAGCCATGCTAACTAATTTCCCCTGCAGATACAAGCTCTGCACGACAGACGAACAGCGCATGGTCTACGGCGCAATCGACGAAGCAGGCGGCGACGGAATCTGGTCCAAATCAATCCAGAACCGCCTCAACATGCACGACTCGGTCCTCAAGACGGCCCTCAAACAGCTGCAAGGAAAGGGCCTCATCGCCCCCTTCAAGAACGTCGAGCACCCCAACAAGCGCATGTTCATCAAGGCCTCCATGCGGCCCTCGGAACGCGCCACCGGCGGGCCCTGGTTCACCGACTCGACGTTCGACGAGGCCTTCATCGAGGAAATCCAGCGCGTCATCTTTGACTACGTCAAGCGCAAGAGCACCTACCACAGCACCGGCTCTTCCTCCTCTTCGTCAGCCGCCACCCGCACCGCTGTGCCCAAAAAGGGCGTCCTCAAGGGCGGTCTCCCGGATACCAAGGGCAAGAAGCGCAGCGCGGGAGAAATCTCGGGCGCCAGCGAAGCAGACACCAAACCCGCTCCGGTCGTCCAACCTCCCAAGCGAGAACCAACCTGCCTGCCCCTCCCCGCGGGATTCAAAGAATACCCCACCGTGCGCGAGATCGCGCGCTTCATCTCCCAGTCGGGCATTACGAGCGACACGATCCTCGGCGAGGAAGACATGCAGAAGCTCATTGACGTGCTTGTTTTCGACGGCCTCATCGAGTCGATCCGCGTCTCGGGCCGCGTCGGCTACAGAGTTTGCCGCGCCCCGCGACAGAGCAACACGGCCTGGGCGGGCCGCCAGGACGACGAGGGCGGGCCGGAGCCGTTTGTCAATGGGTACACGGAGGCTCCTTGCGGGCGGTGTCCCGTTTTTGAGCTCTGCGAGGAGGGCGGTCCTGTGAGCGCGAGCAATTGCGTTTACTTCCAGCGATGGCTGGGTCTGGAATGAGAGGGGGGTTCTTCTGTCCTAGGGAGTAGCAAAAGGAGGTCTTCTTTGTTTTGGGTTGGGTCTGTTTGATTCATTCACATCATGGAAAGCATTGCATTGGCGTTGGCACGAATCATCAAAAAGAAGGACTTGGGCGGGACGGTTTGCCAGGGCCTGAAGGGTAGAGTTTCCATCCTCCCTAAAGGGAATTTAGATTCAATGGCGACGAGCCATTGGCTGTAATTATACCAATGACATGTTTGACCCCACCGCGCTCGTTGTGTTGAATGCATTCAAGTGATTCTACGCCTTGAACGTACATTGGTTATGAACGGTAAATTTGTCACACGATGCCTCGGTACTTGATCGACCAGGTCATTAGGGGTAAAGTGAGTCAAAGGCAAAATGTCACGTAGCGGCAGCATAAAGGTGGCAGTAACTTTTTGTCTTGGCAGACTATGTAGCAGCAGTAAAGCTGATTGCCGCCAAGCTGCGTGATGGCGCAATACCCAAGTCTCTACCAAAAGTCGTCCTCCCTTTCGCGTCAAGGTGTCTCTCGCGACATTTCAGAAGCAGGACCTAACGTACAAAGAACCGAGCGAGAAGCACTTTACAACGCACCAGAGGCGACGATGGTGGGGCGCTTGCCGTACTTGACGGCACCGCTGGAGGAGCCGGTAGCCTCGAGAGCCTTGACGATGTTGAGGCCGTTCTGGTCAGCAACCTCGCCGAAGACGACGTGGCGGCCGTTGAGCCACGAGGTGACGACGGTGGTAACGAAGAACTGGGAGCCGTTGCTGGGTGGAGGGTTAGCTGCCGCGTTTGGACAAAGTGACGGCTGGAGAGATCTTACGTGTTGGGGCCGGCGTTGGCCATGGAAAGCAGACCGGGCTTGTCGTGCTTCAACTGGAAGTTCTCGTCGGCGAACTTCTCGCCGTAGATGGACTTGCCACCGGTGCCGTTGCCACGGGTGAAGTCACCACCCTGAAGCATGAAGTCGGGGATGATGCGGTGGAAGGAAGAGCCCTGGTAGCCGAAGCCCTTCTCGCCGGTGCAGAGAGCGCGGAAGTTGGCGGCGGTCTTGGGGACAACGTCATCGAAGAGGTTGAAGACGATGCGGCCGTTCTGCTCTGTACGACGGAAAGCTTGGTCAGCGAAGCTCTGGATGCGGTGAAGATGGCGGGGTCGGTAAAAAGACAGCTGGAACAGCCAAAGTTGGGCGAACAACAAAGTTTCGAGCCTTTTGGAGTCGAGGTGGGGTGATTTCCATGCCGTCTAGAGCTA